TTTACGCGCAACCACATTTATTATCTTGTTTATCTATACCCACGTAATTTAAAATATTGTTTAATGTAGGCTAACTGATAAGTCATCAGTCGAAATAGATTATATCATTTCTTAATCAATTATATACTTCTAGATAAGAGGTTTTAATATATTCGTATTTCCCATTGTAAGTTTTTGTTATTGTAATCAAAAAATATATCTGTTAAATTAGACAAATTTTTAATCTTATTGCCAAAATAATATTTTTTTTTTAATGAGGTTGTAGGACTGGTGTCTACTGTTATAATTGTTCATTCATATTATATGCATGATTATGTATTTTACAATGGCAGGTCAATAATTAGTAAACACTTCCAGTTGATCTGGGCACTTGGAAAAATCGTACCTGCCCCTTCCTAGATGGGAGTTCAGGTTAGTTAACCTGGCTCCCCCTTGTCAGTGATGCAGGACGAAAAACTGAGGTCCCGTGGACACATTGGCGTGCACTTTAAAGATCCCTTGACAGTTGTAATTCGATATAAGACTAGGCCATAGTGCCGCTGTCTGGGCAAAATTTCTCTCATAGCACACTGCATGGCGTATGCCCGTCTTTATTAGCCCAGTTTGGAGCAGAACAGAAGGACGTTAAACCTCATTTCATTTATAAGCCGGCTCTCAAATACTGACCACTCGTATCTACATCATTGTCTACAATAAATATATACTATAATATAATGATACCAGTCTCTAGAGATTGTCAGAAAAGCTTCCAAAATTGATATAAATATTCACATGTTTATATTATTGTCAGTTGTGTTTGGGTAACATAATACTCTATAAGGACATAGAACGAGGTTAAAATTCAAATAATTTATCTGATGAATAGATTATATTATTTCTTAATCAATTATGTACTTAGAGATAAGAGATTTATATTTGTATTTCCCTAATTATTATACATTATTTAGTTTTTCTTATACGCCTATATTAAACAATAATTAGATATTTTTATATGCCCATATTTTAATGTTACAGAACAAAATTCTAAATTTTCTATTTTCCTAAACTTGGAACATAACCGTTATGGGAATTTTAAAGGAGTCAAAATTATTTCGAAAATTTCGACATACATACATCTTGTGATTGAGGGAGGGGGTGGGGGTAGATCTATTAGACCTGTTGGTTCGTCATATGCTACAAGTCTAAATATGTAAATTTTCCCTTTTCCTTAAACTTGGTACATACCTGTTTATGGTAATTTTAATGGGGCCAAAATTATTTCAAAATTTTCAACATATAAACATATGGGGGTGGTAGTGGGGTCGAGATTTTTACGCGCAACCACATTTATTATCTTGTTTATCTATACCCACGTAATTTAAAATATTGTTTAAAGTAGGCCAACTGATTATTCATCAGTCCAAATGAATTATATTATCTGTTAATTATATACTTATAGATAACGGGTTTTAATATATTTGTATTTCCCACTGAAAGTCTTTGTTATTGTAATCAAAATATGTGATGTTAAATTAGACAAATTATAATCTTATTATTGCCAAAATAGTACATTCTTTTTTTAATGAGGTTGTAGGACTGGTGTCTACTGTTATACCCCACCTCCCCACCTCCTTCCTAGCTGTCTCTCAATACTGACCGCTCCTATTTACATCATTGTTTCAAATAAGTAGGCCTATATACCTGGGCTGGGGCCATTACATTACCATTACTTTTTAAATGTAATCATTACAATTACTTTCTCATTTTTAACAATGTAATTAATTACCATTACCAATTACATTGAAAGTAATTAATTACCATAACCCATAACTGTATGACTATATAAATAAAAAACATTTTTCATAGAAATTAAAGACAAACTTATTTTCCTGCCATGAAGCGCCTACAAAATCAAACTCAAAATAATCCTTGATTCACTCAATAGATATTTGTTTATCAATTGTCATTTCTAGCAACTATAACATCAAGGCAAATTTTATAGTGATAGGCAGTGGTGACAAAACTGACATTTTCACTGTATGATTTGAAAATTTAATCAAAAGAATAGTTAATTAACTGTATTTTCTTTTAAGTAATTTTTTAAATTTTTTAATCAATCCAAATAGTTTGTCTATAATATATTGTATAATAACTGGTAAATTATTCAGCATGACTCTAAAACAAAATATATTAGTTTTAAGTAACCATAAAATGATGAGATACTTGAAGGTCATTGATTGAGTGATTGGCTGTAAATTAGTATTAATCTTTGATTACAATATACATCTTTTCAGAAATCCTATTTAATTACATTTCCATTACTCATTACTTTTGAAATCTTCCATTACTCATTACATGGCCATTACTTAAAAAATGTAATGATTACATTCCATTACCATTACCCCTGCCCTGCTATATTCTATAATATGATGATACCAGTCTCTAGGGATTGTCAGAAAAGCTTACAAAGATTGATATAAATATTCACATGTTTATATTATTGTCAGTTGTGTTTGGGTAACATAATACTTTATATAAGGACATAGAACGAGGTCAAAATTCAAATAATTCATCTGTTGAATAGATTATATTATTTTTTTATCAATTATTTACTTATAGATAAGAGATTTTGATTTATATTTTTATTTCCCTAATTATTATACATTATTTAGTTTTTCTTAACGCCTATATTAAACAATAATTAGATATTTTTATATGCCCATATTTTTATGCTATAAAACAAAATTCTAAATTTTCTATTTTCCTAAACTTGGAACTTAACCTGTTTATGGTCATTTTAAACGGGGCCAAAATTATTTTGAAATTTTCGACATACAAACATATGGGGGTGGTAGTGGGGTCAAGATTTTTACGCGCAACCACATTTATTATCTTTTTTTTTATCTATACCCAGGCATTTTAAAATATTGTTTAATGTAGGCCAACCGATAGTTCATCAGTCGAAATAGATTATGTCATTTCTTAATCAATTATATACTTATGTTTTTAAGATTTTTACCTGCAACCACATTTAATATTTCTTTATCTATACCAACATATTTTAAGATATTGTTTAATATTGGCCAACTTATATCTTGTTTCGTAATCATTAATATACCCTATATGTATTAAATACTTAAGCGTTTCTTGATTGAATTTAGAGTTTAGACTACTTTTTTTGTACATTTCACCGATGTGGTTACTTGTTTAGTTGAATTTTACTACATATGCTTACATTCGTATTTCGTGTAGCATATAGCAGATCATGACTTATGCTGGCATTACACAATTGGTTCTTTGGGTTGTATTCCTAATTGTTTTCAAATTTGAGTGAAGTCTGTGTCACTACAGACCCGGGACTGTACAGCGCAGTGGACACTTACGGCTAGCCCCCGGATCCATTCACTTTTTTGAATTGTCTGTATGTTTGTGTTTTCCTGAGTATGATGTCCTGTCCGTGTATTTGTTTTTGTGTAAATTTTGTGTGGTGCAGTCCCCCTGCACTTACTATTATAGATGTAGTTAAAAATTATTTACAAATGAAATATTTCACCATCGTTGTTTTTTCTGAATCTGTAATTTTGCTGATGTTATAGTGTATCTTTGTATATATTTTATTACTATTTAATTTTAGTCAAAATAGCAATTGACCAATGTCCAAATTGATATCTCGTTAATCTTTCCTGTCTTTTAACTGTTTGGTTTTAAACTTAATGTAACGATATATATTACGTAATTATAGTTAACACGCATTCTTGCTATGTCCATATCTTCTTCTGTATTTAAACATTTGTTTCCTATGTACAATTTAACATTTCTGGTCAAATATTATTATATAATTATTTTAATCCTAAACTTGTATATATATTCCATATTCTACTGTAACTTTAGTCTGGTGACCTGCTCTAGTGATACCTATCTTATTATTGTGACCATTAGCCAGTTTTGGACACTCGTTTATTAAAAGTACAATTTTAAATATTTATCTGAGTTTTTGTCATTAGTGTTGGAATAAGCTACAACCCCCAGAAAACAGTACTTCGGCACTGTGAACAGCTGGCGGTAGACGTAAAATGAGATGCTGTTTAAGTTAAGCTTCTGAAATCAATGCACATGCCATTATTGACGATTATGTGAACGAGGCATGAGGCTTTATATTAATTTGAGATAACAATTTTTGCTTAGCATTGGAGTATAGTGCATTCAAAGCATTAGGCCAACACGTTTTTAAACTTTCGGCGAATTATTTGTTTCTGTTCCCCCCCCCACCCCTGGAAAAAATTGGTGCCCATATCAGTATGGCGCCCCAGAAATCCGATTGACATTGTTGCACTCCCACGACAAGATTGGTTTTATAAACTTATCGTTATATGAGGCGCCCCCCCCCCCCCCATAATGAATCACACGATTAACACCACAACTTGATTGAGGGGGTGTCCAAAGCTGCATGATCTGTGGGGTACTTTATCCAGGAGGGAGGGGGGGGCATAATGACATGTTTGGTGGGGTGCCTTATAATGACAATATAATGATTGTCGGGCTGCACATATGCCGAGTGAGATTGGCTGAGCACGCCCACGTCTTGATCAATGGGTTGCCTCATCCAGGAAGGGCGCCCATAATGCCGAAAGGGGTGGGCCACGACGAGATCATGGGCGCCCATAATATAATTTGCGGGGTGCCCATATTGCCGAGTGAGATTGGGCGACCAAAACGGCGTGATAATCTTCAAAAATCAAACAATTTGCACTGATCAAACCTGATTCCAAACTTTTCGTTTTGCTCATAAATTATAATATCAAAATATCATATTGCAAATTCAGTCTCAAAACTGAAATTTTCATAGTTCCCCTCATCAGGTGCAAAACCCTATTTTCCAAAATTTCGGGGGGGGGGGGGGGAGAGCACCCTATTAGCGCCCCCCAGAAGCCCTTGCCGCCCAAACCCCATCCCCCCCCACCCAGCTCGCCAACGTTTTTGGGCTAGCTACGGGCCTGAAGTGTGGATTAAGTCGTCAGAGATTTGATATTTTCCGAAAAATGCAAATCACGCTGATTTCGGTAAGTATTTAACCGGATCCGTCTAGCTGCGGTCGATTCCGGTATATTTATGTTGGTGTCGGTAATGGTTTCAACGTCTGGATGATAAGGATTACTGAGTTGCCCACCTGACCTGAAAGATGGCGGACCTCGAAGAAGCCACTGAATTATTGAAAAAATGCGATGTAAATGAGGTGGCAAAGGTTTGTATTGTACATTAGTAACGTGAGATAGATAAGCAACTTCGAATTTACTAGTTTACGCCATGATCGTTTCTATCTTTAAAATGGAATTCAGCGGTATAAAATTTATGCGTTTACTTTCAATTTATTTTTCTTGACGTCTGACCACGCCCACCTATAAATTCGAAATGAAATTGGGTTTAAGGTCCTACTGTTCTGCTCTTGAAGACGGGCATATGCCATACAGTGTGCCATGAGGAGGGAAATTTTGCCTGGACAGTGGCACTATATGGCCTACTCTTTTTATATCGAATTCCAAATGCCAAGGGATATATGTTATGTGCACGCCAATGTGTTCACAGGACCTCGGTTTTCCATCCCATCCGAATAACTAGACAGCTGTCCTTGTCAGGCCCTCCATCCTGCACCACTGACAAAGCGAAACCATGTCAGAAAATCCTGATAAACTTTCTTGGCCAATGCAGGGATCGATCATGCGACCTTCAGACTAGCGAGCCAGCATCCTACCCACTTGGCCAACGTGGCTCCCACGTATAAATTCAGTGAATCTAATATTAATAACGTTATTGTGCAGGGTGACTGCACCACATGTAAACCATTACACAAGTGCTGCTGAATTGTAAAATATTACCCATTTATAAGCGTAAATCGGTTTGCTGTTATATGCAAAACATATTGTGCACAAATACCATGTTTTTATTAAGTATAGAATGAATAAAAACAAGGGAATGTACGGACTATTTCTTTTCTATTTTTTTCGTTTTCTCTTATGTAGTGACATTCAATTACTTTTTTGTATTGTCCGATATCCTCTCACATAACAACTTTTGGTCTTGGAAGGAATTATTAGTGAGCAGAAATTCGCCTGTGATCTGCTATCACTTGTCACATCAAAAAGAAAGATAACTCATGTTTTCCTTTTGCTTCATTTCCTTTAACTGCCATTAGAAATATCAAATACTATACATAAACCATGCATTATTTTGAATTACAGCTTACTCATCTTGTGGCAGAATGGTGGATACAGATGGCAGAGGATACAGGCAAGGCAGTATGGTGGATACAGAATGGTGGATACAGAATGGTGGATACAGAATGGTGGACACAGACGGAAGAGGATGCAGGCAAGGCAGTATGGTGATCTGTTTGGCGGAGTGGGAAAGGGAAGTTCTGCCACTCTGTCCATTAAAACCAGATTTCTATGGGCGGTTTTTAGATGACGTTTTCATAGTCTGGACCTACACACTAGACGAATTTTGGACGTTTTTCAACATTCTGAACAATCATCATCCATCTGTCAAATTAACCGCAAATGTAAGCCATAACAGCATAGATTTCCTTGATACTACCGTCTTTAAAAGTAACAACACCAAAATCACCGGCCAATTGGAAACTAAAGTATTTTTCAAAGAAACCGACACACACCAATTATTGTTCAAAAGCTCCTTTCATCCAAAACATACATTCTCTGGCATCATAAAATCTCAGATTCTCCGTTTTCATAGGATATGTACTCAGAAGACCGACTTTGAGTCAGCATGTACATTGGTATTTAGCAAACTAAGGGAAAGGGGATACTCCAAACGCTATCTACGACGTATAAAAAACAACACTCTAGCTGAGCTTGCCGCCAAAGAAACAAATAATATACAATCAGCACATAAAACCAAAATTTGTGGCCATCCAAGATGTCAAACATGCAAAATCTTAAACATATCCGACCATTTCCATAACAAAACATCTGGCACAAAATTCCCAATATTAGACCAACTTTCATGCAGTAGTTTAAACATAATTTATCTAATCTTATGCAGAAAATGTGACAAGCAATACGTAGGGGAGACTCAAAATGCACTTAGGGAAAGAATTAACGGTCACCGGTCTGACATAGTCACCAAAAAAGACAAACCTGTCTCAATTCATTTCAACCAACCAAATCATGACATTTCTGATCTCATTGTCACGCCAAAAGAAAAGACCAAAAGCGACTTTGAAACTTCAGAAGAAATTAAAACGTTTAGGCTAACAAGAGAAAAATTCTGGATTGACAAATTGAAAACAACAGCCCCCCTAGGTTTGAATATTCATACGGCTAGCGCAATAGCTCCTTTTGTAGTTCCATTTAGCGCAACAGCAGCAAGTGCGTCCAAAATCATCAGAAAACACTATACGGATCTCCAAGAAAATCACCCGAAAATATTCACACAGAAACTTATAATTGCATATTCTAAAAATAAAAATCTGAACGACATCCTAGTGCACAGTAAATTAGATTAAATAAGACCAGTCTCCACCCTGACCCAAAACAAACCATATATCAAATCCTATGCCTAACCGTTAGTAATTAAAATCAATTAGATATAAGAATCCCTAGCCGTAACCCGGTGATGTGGAACAAACACGATTTTTTTAGAAAATCCAATCCGTTGTAGGAAACACACTAATGTGGCTCTCTCCCGAGAGCCTCAAATTTATTTTCTTTTTTCTTCAGAAACAATAATACCAGAATACCAGAAGCACCACCCAAGGAAGACCATCAGCGCCACCAACACCAATAAACAGTGAAATCGCCTTTGTATATAAATGTAATGTATTGTATGTATTTTAATAAAACTAGGAAATATCACGAACTAATTTTTCATCATCCTAGGTCAGTGCTTATGTGGAGACTTAACCTCTCCCCCCAAATTCTTAAACCTAACCCACAATCTTGTCAAAAAGCATGTAGCCTAGGCCTAAGTCAAGACCTAGTCCTGACCCTAGCCCTAACCCACAATTGTTTCAAAAAATCATGTGCCCTAACCCTATTTACATGTTGTGACCTTGAACCAAGTCTGCAGTTGGCCTTAATATTTAGACCTAACATGTTTTGACACCATACAATGAAATGGAAACATGTACATACACTCCAAAATTCACACCTGTGAGTTTTTACCAAACATGCAGTTGGCCTTAATATTTAGACCGAACCTCAAAACATGGCATCTATCTTTGAGATTGGCTTAGACTTATGTGACACTTTTACTTTTTTACTGACTGTTAACTGGTTTCTTTTTGGAGGGCCAGTGACGGGCTGTTCGCTAGAAATAAAGAGGTTTATTTCTATTTTTTTTTCTTATTTTCTCACTGTTTTTTATTGCATATTTATCCCCAGCCTCCTATCATTTCAGGTGCCAGGGTAATGTTTCATAGAGTGGAATGATTGACCTCAACACAAGTATTAAAAAAAGAAGCAAAACAGGTGAGATAAATGTGCATTTCATACACTTTAAGAAGTACATCCAACCTGTTCCACACTTCTGCTCGCTAATAGTAATGGGCTGGAAATTTGGTACTGCACAAGCCTGTCTTCTCCCCTTGACATGTAACTGAATGACAGAATTCCACATTTTGACCATTTTCTGGATGTAAATGACCATTTCCCTGGATAGTATTCGCCCCAGAATTCTCATTCTCATCCAAATTTAACATTTCAGGTCTACATCTCAAAACCTGATTTCTTCCTGGACTGGCTTTAGTAGAACGATGATGCATATCAATTTCATCCCTGATCTCTATGACACCTGTGGTGGAAGTGGAGGGCAAATCGTAATCAATTCGGGTTCCAGCCCCGAGGACCTCTGTAAACTTTGCTTTTTGGTGATGACTTCATTTCCAAGCTTGAAAAGGACGCCCTTGTGTTTATCATGGCCTCTCATATTGGAAGATAACATAAATGGCTTGTGTGTTGATCGACGGTTGTGCATATCTCTTGGTCAGGAAAGTTGTAGGCACCATCGCCATTGTAAATCATTTGACAGGCCAGAGTGAACAGGGAGACCTATGATTGGTCAGCAATGTATCAGATTCCATACTAGGGGGTGGGGATGAAAAAACTGATGTAGTGTTACATAATCAGATTATTTCAACTTACTTATCCTGTGGAAATACAGCTATATAGGAGATATTTTGAAATTTATAAGCGCTGCATGTTTCAACATTTTAGATTTGACCACAATTTGGCACTTGAAACTAGGTTAACAGAGAAAAACTGTGTGGTTTTCGATGAAAGTGTTAAGTCTAATATTGCATCATGATTACTGTTTTAAAGTATTTTCGTGTTTGATTTATATTGAATTCATCTCATCTTTTTAAAGAATGCATTTATGTTCAAAAATAAAAATGTTCTGTGGAATTCAAAATTCATGTGCTTTTAAATTATCGGATTCCAAACTGGGGGGTGGGGATGAAAAAGCTGTTGTAGTGTTACATAATCAGATTATTTCAACTTACTTATCCTATGGAAATACAGCTATATAGGAGATATTTTAAAATTGATAGGCACTGCATGTTTCAACATCTTAGATTTGACCACAATTTGGCACTTGAAACTATGTTAACAGAGAAAAACTGTGTGGTTTTCGATGAAAGTGTTAAAAGTCTAATAATGCATCATGATTACTGTTTTAAAGTATTTTCGTGTTTGATTTATATTGAATTTATCTCATCTTTTTACAGAATGCATTTATGTTCAAAAATAAAAATGTTCTGTTTAATTCAAAATTCATGTGCTTTTAAATTTCTGTCTGAAATTCCGCAGTTTTCTGATGTATTATAGTGTTTGCAGAATGCCGCACAGCTCATCTGAAAATGCATAGATTTTCATATTGTTTGGCCAGGGAATTGCATATATGTTTGTTTATTAGATAACAACAGATTTGTTTAAACTGCAGAAACATGTGAGGTATATAGGACTAAGACTAGTAATTATATGAATGTAGTGCGAGTTATAAATAGACAATTTTTCCCTTAATTTTTTTCTCCCCTCTTCCTGCATTTTTTTGTTGACTTTTTGGTCTAGAATTGGAGAAAAGGGATCAAATTTGCAATTTCATAGCGGTTTTGGGTAATACTGATGATATTACAGCTGAGTGATAGGGGGTGTAAAGTCTCTTTCTGCAGAGCAATCATTGTGTCGGAAGTGAGATTTTCACCCCAGTCAACCTCAAATCTGCGTAGCAAAAAATCTAAATGGTCAACCCCCTACAAAATTATGATGAGGAGATTGCCAAATGTTGTCCCCATTGTGCCTATAAAGATTGGAACCAACGGAATGTTGAGCAAAAAGCTACAGCCTGTGATGTTACAGCCATTTAACATTGAAGTCAATGGGCAAATAATTGCTAGTCTGAGACCATATCGGATCGTAACTTACTGAATTATGGCCCTTGATTGTATGAAAAATCACTTTTTTTTTGAGCTTGTTCTCTGTCCATCTCTTGCAAAATGTGGGCGTATCTTGCAAGGCAACCGCTTGTTTTAAAATATTGTTGAATGTGGGCCAACAAATAATTCATCAGTCGAAATAGATTATATTATTTCTTAGTCAATTATATACTTTAATCCATTCACTTTATTTGAATTGTTCGTTTGTTTGTGATTTCTGCGTATTCTGTCTTATCCATATATTTGTTTTTGTGTAAATTATTTGTGGTGCAGCCCCCTGCACTTACTATTATAGATTAGAGGTTTTGATTTATATTCGTATTCCAATATATCTGATGTTAAATTAGACAAATTATTATCTTGTTATTGCCAAAATAGTATTTTTATACGCCCACATTTTCATGTGGACGTATTATGCCGTCGCCTCTGTCCGTCCGGACGTCCGTCCGTCCGTCCACAATTGTTTGTGGACTCTCTACAGGTCACAATTCTTATCCGATTTCGACGAAACTTGAAATATAGGTGTATCCCCAAAAGATCTCGGCTGCTTTCGATATTGGCATGTATCGGATCGAAACTTCATGGATTATGGTCCCTGTTTGTACGAAAAATCACGTTTTTAGCTTGTGGACCCTATAGAGGTCACAATTTTGATCCGATTTTGTTGAAACTTGAAATGTAAGTTTATAACCCAAAGATCTCGATTCCTTTCGATATTCGTGCATATCGGACCGTAACTTCCTGAATTATGGCCCCTGATTGTACGAAAAATCACGTTTTTAGCTTGTGGACCCTATAGAGGTCACAATTTTGATCCGATTTTGTTGAAACTTGAAATGTAAGTTTATAACCCAAAGATCTCGATTCCTTTCGATATTCGTGCATATCGGACCGTAACTTCCTGAATTATGGCCCCTGATTGTACGAAAAATCACGTTTTTAGCTTGTGGACCCTATAGAGGTCACAATTTTGATCCGATTTTGTTGAAACTTGAAATGTAAGTTTATAACCCAAAGATCTCGGTTCCTTTCGATATTCGTGCATATCGGACCGTAACTTCCTGAATTATGGCCCCTGATTGTACGAAAAATCACGTTTTTAGCTTGTGGACCCTATAGAAGTCATAATTTTTACCCGATTTAAAAAAAACGTATTATTATATCACCGTTACACCCTAGGGACGACTGAATTCGAATTTCGTGAAAATCGGCCCAAAATTGACAGACAAAATGGCCGCCGTTCGTTCTCAAATAGCGTAAGAAAATGGTACATCAAGGTTGTGGACCCTATAGAGGTCACAATTTTTATCCGATTTTGTTGAAACTTGAAATGTAAGTTTATAACCCAAAGATCTCGGTTCCTTTCGATATTCGCGCATATCGGACCGTAATTTCCTGAATTATGGCCCCTGATTGTACGACAAATCGCGGTTTTAGCTTGTGGACCCTATAGAGGTCATAATTTTTATCCGATTTAAAAAACCGTATTATTATATCACCGTTACACCCTAGGGACGACTGAGTTTGAATTTCGTGAAAATCGGCCCAAAATTGACAGACAAATTGGCTGCCGTTCATTCAGTTCCTTTCGATATTTGCGCATATCGAATTGTAATTTCCTGAATTATGGCCCTTGATTGTAGGAAAAATCACTTTCTTGTTAGCTTGTTCTCTATCCATCTCTCGAAAATGTGGGCATATCCTGCCTGGCAGCCGCTGGTTTAAAAATAAAGTTGTAGGACAGTTTTATTATTGACTATTTATATTATATGCATGATTATGTATTTTACAATGTAAGGTCAATAGTGAGTAAACACTTCCAGTTGGTCAGAGCACATGGGAAAATCCTACCTCCCCCTTTCTAGATGGGAGTTAGGGTTAGGTAGCGGACCACTCATGTCTACATCTTTGTTTCAAATAAGTATATACTATAATATGATGATACCAGTCTCTAAGAGATTGCCAGAAAAGCCTAGAAAGATTGATATAAATATTTACATGTTATATTATTGTCAGTGTGTTAGGGTAACTTAATACTTTATAAGGACATAGAACGAGGTCAAAATTCAAATAATCCATCTGTTGAATAGATTATATTATTTCTTACTCAATTATGTACTTATAGATAAGAGATTATGATTTGCATTTCCCTAATTGTTATACATTATTTAGTTTTTATTATACGCCTATATTAAACATTAATTAGATATTTTTATATGCCCATATTTCATGTTACAGAACAAAATTCTAAATTATCCATTTTCCTAAACTTGGAACATAAACCGTTATGGGAATTTGAATGGGATCAAGATTGTTTCGAAATTTTCGACATACAATCATGGTGTGATATGGGGGGAGGGAAGGTGTATTATGTCTGTCTGTCCGTTATGCTATAGGTCCAAAATTTAAATTTTCCCTTTTCCCTAAACTTTAATGGGGCCAGTTCATTTCGAAATTTTAGACATACAAATAAAATAAGGGGGAGGTGGTGGGGTCGAGATTTTTTCACGCAACCACATTTTTTATTTCTTCCATACCTATACCCACATATTTTAAAATATTGTTTAATGTGGGCCAACTGATAATTCATCAGTCCAAATAAATTATGTCATTTCTGAATCAACTATATACTTTTGTTTATAAGATTTTTACCTGTCACCAGATATTGTTTAATATGGGCCAACGTATGCCAGTTATAAACTTATACATGTAGTTAATAAATCATTTACAAATAAAATATTTGCGTTTACCGAATCTGTAATTTTGCAGTGAACAAGCTGGCGTAGACGTAATATGAGCTGCTGCTTAAAGATACATTATGTAAGATTTAGATAAAGAGCTAGCCCGTCTTGCTATAATAGTTCGACAATAGATAATATAAAATAACTAATTTGAAAATTTCATTGAAATTACTCTATTGCGAGCGCAGATATTAGCCTTTAAAGGTTTGACAAGACGTGTGCAATAATTTCAACCACCGTACTTGTTGTTCGAAGCTAAGTCTCTCTCCTCCATTTTTAGCTTAAATCAAAATATGGCTGAACTGTTCTAATCTATTTAATATCGGAGAAATACGATGCCATCGAGAGTTCATTATGGCCTGGGTAAGTTAATTAATGTCTAATAATTTAGAAAACATTTCAGGCCTAAAGAAAGACCTGCAATAGGCAGATTTAGCTCTTGCATAATGTATGTTTAAATTACGCTTCTGGAATCCAAGGACAGGCCATTGACGATTATGTGAATGAAGCATGGCAATTCATATTAATTCATATTCAGCTGCGAATTATTCGTTTCTGTTTCACCTGAACATGGCTCAATTTCTATATCCACCCCCTCTCTCCCGCCCTGTCAACTCGGGAATGTATGGCCGAGATTTTGTTCAACTAATGAATGGTTACTTAGGAGATGCCCATATGCCTGATCGACTATTGGCTGTTCTGATGATTTACGGAATACGTTGCTACAGCAATATGGAATAAACAGTGCCTTGTATTTCAGACCGTTCGCCCCAGGATTAGCCAGGGAAACGATACTATAAACTATTTGCAACTAGCATCTTTTGGTGGTTTGGGCTGGTAAAACGTTACTGTAATCTAGCTAGTTTTGAAATAAAGGCATTCAAGAAGCTTTATGTAAGATTTAGATAAAGAGCTGTCTGTTCTTGCTGTAATAGTTCAAAAGTGATAATGAACGAGGGCATCGCTAACGCCGCAGTATACCTCCACATTCCTGCTTTCATTGATATGGTACTTTTTAAAATGAAGAGAATGAAATATGAAATGGCTGTAATATGAACAGAGGCAAAGAAGGCTAGGCATTGGGTTTGTTTTGCCAAATTTTCAGAAAAAAATATTAACAAAAAGTGGGTGTGACAACACTGCCCCAGGGACCAAAATAAACAGTTGCTGTCTTTACGCTATAAGTACTAAATATGCAAAGTTCCAAGATGATCCATTAAGAATTGCAGCCTGTAGGCGATAAATGCAAAAATTGGGCATGGCTCTGCCCCTAGATGTTGGATATGGAACAATATAAATAGGCACCACCCTGTTATTGAAATGGTTGATATGCTCAATTTGAACAAAATTTGTTAATTATTGCAACCTGTGGAGTATTTACCGATAAAAACTAACAAAAAAGTGGGTGTGGTACCACAACCCTGGAGGTGGGGGGGGGATTGGGGGTAACGGGACATGCACCAAAATAAATAGTTGCTATCCTTACAGTATAAGGAATAAATATGCCAATTTCCAAGATAATCCATTTAGAATGCCAGTCTGTAGACAAAAACACAAAAATTGGGCGTGGCTCTGCCCCTCAGGGTTGGACATGTATATATAGCTACAACCCTATGCTGGATCATTCCAAATTGGATCCAAATCTGTTTATAATTGCAACCTGTATATCATTTATAGACGTTTAGGGTGAGAGCGTACCCCTTTAATATAATTGTGCCAACTTTTACTAATAATATTTAGAAACTTATTTAATTACCTTTCAGAATATATATAGGTGGATGTTCAGAATTTTGTACGATGATTCGAACTTCGACTTCGAAAAAAATACCGGTCTATCTTTACATTTAGAATATTGTTAAATTGGCTTTATTCAGGTTGAGAGCGCACCTCTTTAATATGATTGTGCCAACTTTTACTAATGATATTTGGAAAGCTTATTCAATTACCTTTCAGAATATATACTATTCAAAAAAAGTAGGAGATATTTGATTTTTAAGTGTTATTAAAGTCACCTAATGAAACTGACGAAGAAACAAATGACAAAATGAAATGAAGTTCACATTCATCGATTTATTCCAAATGATCGTTAGACTAAGTAAGGCACAGACTGACCATTATAAGGGTAAAATGATACCCGGGGTCAAACAGCAAAGTTACCACAGCATCACAACCAAGTCAGTAACGGGTAAATCCTCCTCTGTTTGCCAAACAAGCATTGATCCGACGTGGCATACTCCTAATGAGACGTCTAAGGTCATTTTGGTCCAGATTGTCCCATTCCTGTTGCAACGCAGCAGCAAGTTCTTGGACATTGGCAGGACGTTGTTGACGTTGACGTAACCTCTGTCCAAGCATGTCCCAGACATGCTCGATGGGGGAGAGGTCGGGACTCAGTGCTGGCCAAGGTAATGTGGTGATGTTCTGTTGTTGGAGGTAACCTGTAACGATCCTGGCCCTGTGACATCTTGCGTTGTCATCCTGGAAGATGAAACGGCGGCCATGACGTCGTGCGAACGGCACAACATGGACTGCCAAGATGTTGTCCCGGTAGTACTGGCCTGTAACACGCCCTGCAACAACATGTAAAGCCGTTCTTCCAGCAACAGTGATGCCTCCCCACACCATAACAGAACCACCCCCAAATCGATCATGTCTGATGACGTTAACGTCTTGGAAGCGCTCGTTTCGACGACGCCACACCCTCCTACGTCTGTCCAAAAAATCAACAGTGAACCTTGACTCATCTGAAAACATCACATTGCTCCAGCGTCGATTATCCCAGTGTTGACGATCCCTACACCAACGACGTCTTGCCTGAATGTGATGATCTCTCAAACAAGGGATCACGCGAGGACGTCGGGCGCGAAGGTGACCCCTATGCAGTCGATTCCGAATCGTCTGGCCACTCACTCTCACACCAGTGTCTGTTTGAAGACGAGCGCTGATCTGATTTGCTGTGATGACACGATTTCTCAAGGCCAAGGTACGGATAAATCGATCCTGGGCTTGAGTTGTCGCCCTTGGTCGACCTGAGCGTGGTCTGTCCTGTACAGATTGTGTATCACGGTATCTGGACCATAGCCTGCTTATGACAGACTGAGAAACATTCATCGTCCGCGCCACAACCGCCTGTGTTGTGCCGATCTGTAGCATGCCAAGGGCACGTAACCTTTCATTTTGGGTAAGCCGACGCATATCAAAATTTGTTTTCTGGTCACTAAAACAATTAAACTGATGTTTCCACCCTGGAATTCAATGCCACAATGACTGTAACATTCAAAGTCAGAGTCGTGCAAATCTTGGGTTGGACCCCCGTGATGATCCCAAGCATCACCTGCATTCCATGCGGTAGCTATTGGTGCGTTTGGGCGTCACATGTAACTGGAAATGTTTCTTCTATTAGGTTCTATAGTGACTTTTTTCGTAGTCATTTGCATATTTTAGTATTATGCCCCCAAAATCAAATATCCCCTACTTTTTTTGAATAGTATAGTTGGAGCTGAATACGATGACGATTTCTCGACATATTCAGCGTGGACTGACGATTCCTCTGGGGGCGATTCTGAAATTTGAACATTTTGATTTTGTGAGGGTCTGGTAATTTCAGGCTCAGTAGGATGTACTCTTTCATTAAAACTGATACTTCGAATTCGTCTTTCTTCAAGCACAGGGGTCCATATTTGAGTTGTCAGTTTCGGCCGCCACAGGGCCATAATCGTCTGTTACGGGCAATTTCGTACTCGGTCAGATGTACTCTTTCATTTAAAATTGGTTTTGACCGGTACCGCGAATGTATGAGTATAACTCATTTTTGTCCCCCCTCGGCTTTGGGGTGTCAGTTTAGGCTATCCCAGGCAGGGACGTAAATCTGGGGGGGGGGGGTGTCGGGGGTGGTACATCCCTCCAGGAAAAAAAATAGTCGGTCGCAAAATCAGTGCAGTCGGTCGCAAAATAAGAGCAGTCGGTCGCAAAATAAGTGCTCACTGCACACGTCACGCTACTCACGCAAAACTTTAGTATAAAATAACCTTGTCAACTTATCATGTTTGAAAAAATAATGTGTTTCACTCTTATTCTGTTGTGAGTATGTAGGTCTAAGAACAAAATTTCCTCCAGGGAGAAAAATAGTCGGTCTCAAAATAAGTGCAGTCACTGTAGTCGGTCTCAAAATTATGCATCGCCGTCTTAATGAATTAATGAGGTAAACAAATAATGCCAGAATAGATCCCAAATACTAGTCGGTCGCAAAATCAGTGCAGTGGGTCGTAGGATATGAGCAGTCGGTATCAAAATAAGTGCTCACTGCACACGTCACTCTAATCACGCAAAACTTTAGTATAAAATAACCTTGTCGACTTATCATGTTTGAAAAAAATGTTTTTCAGGCCATGGCAAAAAAATAGTCGGTCTCAAAAAAAAGTGCTCACCGCAGTCGGTCTCAGACTAAATGAATTAATGGGGTGTTTTCTGACCATCAGAATTTTGCAAAATCTCTCCCCAAAGTCCAGGGCATTTCAGAGACCAAGTAAGCGCCCCATTGAGGAAAAGTGCCCTCAGGCCCAGTCCTCAAAAATTAAAAGCCCAGTTACATATCAGCGTTCAAATCCATTATGCCATCATTCTTCAACTCCTTCTCTGTCTTATACTATCTCATCACTATCATATTCACTGTTACAGTGAAAAGACTGTAGAATTGTTAGTTCTACTCTCACAAAACAGGCGACATTGACAGATAGGCCTGAAGATTCTGTCCCATTTCTTATCCTCTCGTTAACGAGAATTTGGATCCATTTGCCATGACATTGACTAAAATTGTCAGGCCCAGTCCCAAAAATTACACAGCTCGGTTACACATCTGAAATTGTTTCGCGCCTGCGGCGCTCGATTCCATTATAACATCATTCTTCCACTCTGTTGTCTTACACTGTTTCAGCACTATCATATTCACGGTTATACTGAACTGCCTAGTTATGTTAGTAGTACCACTGGCACTGGT